AAATGAATGAGCATTTATTTAACTTGCAAATAGAAATTAGCTGGTTATAGCAATAAATGGTGATTATTTGACATACACACGAAGCGTTTTGCAAGGTAATTTTTTCAAATGAAATAAATTTCATGTCAGTGATAAAAGGTCCGTAGTGAAAAATATTTTTTAGACATTAATTTGGTTAAAATTTAAACATGTTGACCACAAAAAAACTAATTTTATGACTAAAAATAAAAAACGTTTAAATCAAATATTTTCTTTCATACACAAAGTAGGACCTATTTTGTGTTTAGGTTTTGGAAATCTGTGAAGCTGTTCTTTTAAATGTCCTGACAACCACAAATTTGAATATTTTGTATCAATCATCGTATTTACAGATAAATTATAAAATAAGTGATTTGGGGGAAGATTTGCAAACAGATCCATGTCAGACATTGCATTATTTTACATGTAATTTTTCATGCGGAGATACATACATCTTCAAAGTGCTTCATTTCTGTGATTCAGAATCACAAACAGTGCCTTCACATTCCGCAATATCATTCTAACTCATAAACAGCACCCTCACATTACTTGGTTAGAACTCAATTTTTAACATCATTTTCAGGGCCGTAAAGGACCTTGACAAGGTGCTGACCAGAGTTTTTTTTTCAGTGTCGTGAGACTTCAGTACTCTGTAGCAGAAGTTTCTTGTTTTGATGCCAAAAAAATAGCCAAATTAAATGACGTTCATTTTTTGAGATGTGAATACCATTTAAATTAAATTATTGATCACAATGTATGATCCTTCGATCCTTTGAGTAGTGTAAAAATGTAGATAGACTTGCTCCATCATTAAGGTGAAAGCAAGGAACTGCATCTCTGAGAAGACTTAGTCCTTTCCTTGCCTTTTGTGAATCAATGCCTAAGATTCTGATGAGGATTCCTCATGCAATCTTGGAAACTGTTCCTCCTTGGTGATGGAGGCGAGAAGTGGCATCTGTCTGAGTTACTTCCTCTCCTTGATGTTCTCATAAATCATCTCTGTGAAGTCCCATAGGATCTTGTCCTCCATCTTTATTCTCCCCAGGTTGAAGGAGGCGAGGGCGCTTTTCTCATCAGCATCATGGTCTGCTTCTCCAGGGGCATACCCACAGCTTTGGTCTGGGGAAGAAATTAATTACCAAACGAACTAAATTGCAGCACAAATTGAGACATTTCTTCAAAAATTATACGATCCTTGTATGCTACTTGTTTTTACACCTTTTATTTCATTAAAAAACTGTTTAGTGTCTATTGATTTTCTTCCAGTTTTTTGTCAGAAAATGAACTATGACAAGAGGATTCCTTTGACGCTGCTGACCCATTACTTCTGACAGCATTTGTGATTCGTACTCTGTTAAAAAATGTTTTTCCAGACACCTCTTTAGGGTTTAGTGAATCAAAAAGTGACATCTTTAAAACTGAAAATTGTCTTTCCTTTTTCCTAACAAGTGAGGGCGCTGTTTTACAGTTGTACTGTAATGTCAGTTATTATTATTATTATTATTACTGGTTTATTGCCACTTACTTGCAACCCCAAGGTTGAATAGCAAAGTCAATCGGGGAAGACCAAAAATCTAAAATATCTATGGAACAACAACTCCTACAGAAATCAATGATTGATCCCGAAAGTGTGGGCAGAACTATTTCAACAGGGTGCACAAGTCTGTTGAATTGGATACAAATCTGAAATTTGGGATGGTGACTGAAAATACTGTCAAGTGTTTACAACATGGTCCCTTTTTGTATTTTAGTTCATTATTTGTCAAACTTAAGGTAGATCCTTTTTTTAAATAAGAGCTTTCAAGACCTAAATTTTTGTCCATATTCATTGCTCACCTTCAAAAAAGCCTGAACAAATGCCCATAATGTACATGTATATGATTTTAATTTTTAGACTTTTATTTTTCAAATATTTTGGAAACACAGTTCTCAGTGCTCTGTCAGATAAAACTTGAGAAAATATGTTAAATATACTTTTCAAAATATTCACTAAACAACAGGATGTCAGGAATTTATCTAAATTTCACCTAATGTGCACCTTGGCTTCTACTTATGGCTTGTAACAATGGGCAATATTATGAGGACGAAAAATTGAACTGTGCCGGGTTAGAGCTTTAATAAAAACACCAACAGGGCCAAATAATATTTGATGGACAATTGCCACAGTTGCCCCCAATCCATCTTCTTTGACGTAGAGCAGTGCTGCACAGCAAATCATAAACCCCAGGAGACAAGGCAGCCATTTGCTGATGGTTATTAAAAATGAAGACTTTCCTTAAATTATGCCCCTGCTATTGTCGGTCTAAAGGTATTTTCTGTCTATGATTAGACACTTCATTTCATGAGTTTTACGATGAAAACTATGAAACCCAAATTGCTCCTTGAATATGCTGAATATGTCTCAGGCAATGTGGACCATTGATCAATGGTGATTCGTCATGAAACAGCAATAAACCATGAAGGAAAAGGAACTTAAGGCCAGGAAAATGTGAAAAATTCCAGTATAGTGGGTGAATTGAACTAGGCTTGCCCTGGTTACAAGGGTTTAACATCATCCCTATCATCTTGCTTGGTTGACACAATGCACATAACCATCCCTAGGTCAGGGTTACCCTAAAAGCTAGCCACAAGCATGCAAGGGTGGATCCAGGACCCATTTTTTTCGGCAGCAGGGACAAATTTGATTCTGGGGGACGATTGTTTTTTTTATTTTTAAACTAAATAGACTACAAATATCCTTTCATTTTTTCAAATGAAAACATTTTTTGCTCCTTTTTTGGTCATGACCCCAATAGGCCCCCTCCCCTTTTCGCGGATTCTTACTTGCAGAAAGCCAGCAATGATATGAAACACAGGACTCTTACCTGTGCTACTTATGACGTAACCTGCCCCTTCACTTTGGAGATTTCATCGTTCAGTCCACTCACACCATGACGCTAACCGGCCTCCATGTTCGTGTAGGCAGACATGGCAGTAGATTCACCTGGCAATGAGGCCTTCCCAAATCTAAACACAGGGAAAAATGACAAAAAACAATAATTGGTCACCTAAGGTTTTTTAGTCACACTGTAATAATAATTTCTCCCCCAATGAGCGAAACATCCACATTTTAACCCATCATCACATAGACTCTTACTGTGGGTCGCTTTTAAATCCATAAAACCATACTCTGCTGGGTGTAACAGGCTGGGTGGGGTCATCAGGGCCCAATTTCATGGGGCCTCTTAACACAGAAGAAAAATCATGCTAACTTTAGCAGAAAAATTTGCTAACATTGAGCACTATTTCATGGTGGTGCTTGGGGTGGTTGTGCTAATGGCTGCATGCGGATAGAGATTTCTGTTTTTACATCACTGAGTTTAAGTAAATCTTTCCTTCAAGGTTAGGATGCATTTGGCTGTACTTACTGTTTACAGTATGCATGAAATACACCGAGCCTCTGTAACCTGAAATCGCGTGCTAAACAGCGCCGAGAAATTGGGCTGTGATTGTTACAAGCAAGGTTCCTACAAAATATAAAAATCAAATTCAGTGACCTTTCCTGTAGTATGACAATTTCCATGGCATATAATGCCACTCTGCGCAGAAAATTTGTTTGGTTTAATAAACAAGAAGTCTGCATGCCATTACCACAATCCATAACCACTATCAGAGTCACTCTTGTATGATCTTGATTTCCATTAGTTTTCCTTAGACCAATTTTCCATGACTTTCCTGGACAACTTTTCCCCAGGATTTTCAATGACTGATTTCCAATGTGGAACCCTGTACAAGGACAAATGGGTTAAAAGTACTGTACAGTCTATCATATGCAGTCATCCAAAAGGTATCCAAAATGAGCCCACAGGCAGGGGACCAACCACGCTGCTATCGCCTTACTCTATCAGGGCAGTGATGCCAGAAGATGAACCCACAGGCAGGGGACCAACTACGCTGCTATCATGTTAAATACAGTAACAAAAAGGGAGCAGTTATGTCTATGCATTGTAATAAATGTACTTTTTTTCAAGCCTATTCCCACCAGGGCTGTGGGTTTAAGGCCATCTCGAGTGGCTTCAGTCATTTGCTAAAGAACCAGTGTAATTCTGTCAGCCTAAGCCGGCTGATTTGGAAAATGTCCATCTCCAGCCAGTTGACATGTGTACAAACAACCTGAAGTACCCAGTGACTGCTTTTTCAACTTAACATATTGTGAAAACTCTGGCTGTGTGAGTGGAAATTTCTTGAAGAACCTCTGAATTTTACCCTAAAGAGCTGGGGGGGAGGGAAGAGGGAGTCTACCTCCCTTTAACATATTTTCCAATATTATCAAGGTGCATATTTTCCAGAAGCCTTCTGGAGTTCTTCTGCATAACTCTCTTTGGTCATTATGACGCCATTTTTGTGAAAATCCAACATACCGTTCTTGAAAAGCAACTTTTTACTGAGAAAGGTCAACCAAGAATGTATACTTTTCTTTTTCATTCCCAACTTCCAAGTGACTGTCAAACCAGTATGACAGTATATGGGATAAAAAATTTGCCAGATGTGTGCAAAATCTTAGTGGGCATATAGGCCTACTAAAGTTACTCATGTCATTTTGACAGAAATGGGCCATGCACATGATGTACTGTAGCCAGTGAAGTGTAGGCATGCCTAGTGTTGATCCCAGTCCTGCATGTAGGATTAGTCTCAACATGGTCTTTTCCTTTCTTCATGGTCTCCTCTCTCTCAACTGAAGAACTAGGCCTATTGTGATGAATTTTATTCCTGTAAAGTGTGGAATAATAAAAGCAAACTCCATTGTACTTAATCCATCAATGTCATCACGTAGGTATGTCAGCGATTCCTCAAAGACTAATTTCTTGATGACATTCGAAGTCGTGAAAATAAATGGATTGAAGCGACCATCATGTGCTCAGTATACTCCGCACGTGCACGTGTGCCACCGCAAACATGTTTGCAATGTGTCTGTAGTCGGTCCGCCATATATCCATGTTCTGTAAATGGGCTCTCGATGCAATGTGAGTTTTGTATAGTGATCGCAGGCACCGAGTGCCTGGCTTGTAGCCACAGACGCGTACAGCACACATGTGACTGCAAAAATACATGTTATTCATGTATGATAGCTGAAGGGAACAGAATCAATGTGACTGAACAAAGGAAAGGAACCAGTGTCAGGTGAGAGTTGGGTGAGATTTCGACCTGGTTGTAACTAGAACGGCAAAGCCACCAGGGCACCCTGCTTGTTATGAATTTGAATTTATTTCTTGTAATAGCAGGAAAGAGGCATCCAAGTTATACAAATATGGTTACTAAATCAAAAAAGTAAATAGTAACAAAGCTTCATCAAATTTTTTTACAAGATTGGTCGACAGAAGACTGCAATACAGATGTACAAGCTATTTTATTGACCTTAGCAATACAATTCATTCTACATGTACTCTAGGAGAAAAAAACCTAGTCAGTGCTGTGTGCAGACTGTGCTGAAAGGTGCCGGATATTAACCACTTGCTGCTAGGTGGATTTTTCTTGAGCAAGACAAGATGCCCGGTCCTTTTCAAGATTTTCTGTTTTCAAAATTCTTCAAAAATTTATCATTGCATTTAATGGCCGTTTATACCCACATGAAGAACTCTTTGGGTACTACTCTAAAGCTGACAGGTAAACTTCATTGACTCCTAAATATTTCAGCTAGGCCTGCAGCCTTGGAAAAAGATCCCAGATTTTGCAGTGTTATGTATGATTCTGTTCCCAAAACCGGCACGGTGCACTAGCTGCTGACCTCTTTTCAATAGGGGCCAGATTAGCGTGCAGCAGTGCTGTGTGGCTCATCGCTGCGGCGGAGAATTTTTGTCCCCAGTGGTAATCCGCTCGCTCTAAATACCTCAAACCGTGGTATACTGTTTCAAAACAAGGCTGGATTGTCTCCACTATTGAGAGCGAAAAAATGTCGGTAATGCCCAGCAGCTCAGTCTTTTGAGCTGAACACAGTCTTTTGTTATAAGGCCCAACTCTTTTGTCCCAGTTCCGAGCTCCCCGACTCTGCATATAAAGCCTATGTACCCGAAAACGGAGTGCCCGGCAGGAAGTGGTTAACGTTGGATATTCTTAATCAAAAAAACCTGCTGGGCGGGTTTTTTCCCAGCAATTTTTTTGAAATTGCAATTTCTTTGTGACGCAACCAATCACAACGCATTAATACGCCATTAATATTTCTTTTAAAGAAGTCTTAAAAGAGCGTACACGTCCTCTGTAGAACAAATAAGAAAAAGTATGTGTGTCTACACTTCATCTGGCATCAAGTGGTTGAAAGTAAATCAACAAAGACCACCACCAAGGGAGATACAGGTACAAAGACTTCACAGTTCTTCACAGGAAAAAGAGGAATGCCTAAAAAATGTAGGTCCAGCTAGTACAGTCAGACTAGCCCTGGATGATTATATAAGCAGTGCATTTGTGCATTTGGTGGATGGTGCATAACTGAAGTACATGTATAGCTCTGCACTTTGTATCCAACCTCATCATCCTATCCATCTCCTACTCCACCCCCTCCCCATCATCCTATCCATCTCCTACTCCGCCCCCTCCCCATCATCCTATCCATTTCCTACTCTGCCCCCTCCCCATCATCCCATCCATTTCCTACTCCACTCCTGCCTATCATTCCCTTCACTTCTTGGGCTGAACCATCATCCCACTTACCCAGCCCAACCATTACGCCAACCTTATCCAGCATTTCATCCACTTTCTACATACACGTACCTTGTCCCCATGATCCTCCTCCTACAGGAACCCCTCCCCCAATAAACATCCTAATCTGTCACTTGGAGTCCCCCATCCCTTACATTTTCTATATACGGTGCAGTGTACATGTATGTTTGTACAATGTACATGTATGTGTCTAACACTGTCTATACATGTACATGACAGGAGTTCTCAGTATGTACATGTACGTATACATGTACAGTACATGTACTGTACATGTACGTATACATGTACAGTACATGTATGTACATGTACTATAGGGTCAAGTACCCCTGGTACACAATACAACTCAAAATGTTAGCATTCAACTTTCATAATTTTTTCACTCATAAACTACACTTCAAAGCATTAATGCCATATGAGACTTTAACATTTCAGGACGGCCGGATGGACAGAAGACGGAAATTGGTATTACATAGGCTCGCATTTGCTTTGCAGCTCACCAAAAATCCTCTAATTCTTCAACTTAATCAGTGCACCAGCATTACAACAGCACACTGGTATAAACACGACAATTTGTGAACCCCCCATTCCACAACCAGGCTGAATACTTACACTAGTTTCTGGAAAATAATATCAATATGCACAAAAACAATGCAGTTTCCTTTTTTTTAAATATCCTTAAACAAAATATAAATCTGGTATCAAAATAAAAAATGGGAAGAAGACTTGTCAAACATCTAAATGACCTTACTTAAGACTGGGTTTTGGGGTATTCAGTTACAATCAGGAAAACGGACAAGTCACAATAACATTTTTGGCTTAGAAATTCATCCGTATCTAATGCAATCTGACTAACACAAGGAATGTCCCCTGTCTGCTTGACAAGAAAGGAAAAATCTTTGGTGAGTGTACTGTGTCCCACAATGCTGTTCAAACAATAACCAAATTGTTGCTATGAGGTATAATATCAAGCACACCAAAAAACAAGAAATCTTAACCCTAACACTCCTCAGTCCTCCAACAGGTGAAGGATTGAGGAGGGTTAGGGTTACTCTAGACCAAAATACTCCAGGATATAGGGTAAATATACCGAGTGAATGCACTGTACACGTACATACATGGTTTACAAGTACAAGCAGGTGTTTTCCAAACAATACAAATGTAAGTTCAAAATACCTGCATCTTGCGATCGTAACTGTTTTCAACCTGAACGCATATGTAATTTACAGGCTACAGGTATTTACAGACTTCCATCAAAAATGTATTAGTCTGAACAATCAATCCTCCAATTTCAATTTATACATTAGTGATCTTACCTTCAGTGTAAAGCTGACAGCAATCCTTCCTTGTGTAACTACTGGTCTCATAAATATATCCCAAATGTACTGAAATCAGAGATACTGAACTGCGATATTTATAAGTATCTGTGAAACGGTTGATATGACACAGACATTCCCAGAAATTAATACGGCGTCAACAGTTGTAAAAAAAAGTACATGTACGTACGTGTACACGTGTATTCCACTGATGCACGTGTTGCATTGACGCATGTACAGTGTACAGGCAACTGTACACTTAATTCTAGGAAATGCTGCTACAATAGAAACTGAAGTAATGAAGAACCTCATAATAATAAAGTTCACCATTTCCTGTCATCGTTAGCAGATATCATGCCATTTAAAGGAAATCATGTATGTTTATGGAAACTGAAGTTGAATGAAAAAAATTAATGGAAATAGCGAGCACACATGTACCATATGGAAGCATTTTGGTTTTTATTTCTTCCATTTTCAGTATGAGGACAAAAGTGTCTCCCTAGGTATCCTTGTCACTGTATTTGGTCCAGTTAAACACTCATTAATGAGCCTTGAGGACAGCTTCATGTAAATTATAAGAACAGATCTCGAGGATGAATCAGGTTGGACAATACCTCTCTCATGCCTAGTCTGCCTACCTTCTCATTCCGATCGATGTAGCAGGCACAAAGTCACTAGAGTTGTTACAAGCATGTCTCCTGTTCATGTCATACCAGTATCATTTTTTATGCGATGGCCTACCTGTACATGTACACTGGTCTTTACATGTGCATAAGTGCAAAAACTCACGTCAAGCAATCCTGTGTCACACATGTATATTGTACATGTACGTACACCCAGGCCTACATGAAGTTCACCCACCTCATCATTAACTCTACGGCCATTCACATTTAATACAAGCAACTTTTTTCACAGTGTGGCAATTAGCTTTGAAAAAGAATGTATCCTTTCTTCACCCCGACTGATTTTGGAAGAACTCATTGTAGGATATTCCTCTCCGTTGAATGTTCTATAGAGTACCGAAGTACGACGTCACTGTGAACCAGAAAGTGCAGTGCAAACGAATGGAGTACGCGCGCGTGTTGGTTCACGCGCTGGTTCTCGCGCTAATGCCTTTTACACACTAATTGTGCGCGTGACGTATTCACTTCGGTACTCTATAGGCCAGGTACAAGAAATATAAAATACAGCAGCATGACATGTTCATGTGTACACATACACGTACAAAGATGTTACATGACAGTCAGGCTTTATCTATCTTCTTGTGCACTTCCTCTTACTTTTCTAGTTCTGGTTACCAAGGTACAGTATTATCATTTGAGTACCCAATAGTTTGAAAAGTCAAATTCCATTCTAACCTAGCGTAAATGTATTTTCTTCACAAACAGAAAAATTAAAACAGATCTATTGGATAACACATTTTCTGGCCTGCTTTACTTCTGAATTAATTCCTAATGGCTTAGGTTGAACACCAGAAAAGTCAGAAGTGTGTGCACTCACCCTATTTACACTCACAGGTTCTCTAAATGGGACATGTACATGTACGTGTAATTTGTGGCATTCTTTATGTTATTTTTGTTAATTTTGCAACTTTCAAAACACATTTTGATAAAAAGGTTCTGCACAGAGGATTTACTTGTTAATTTCTCCTGTTTAGAAAAATGTTTGAATTTTTATATACATGTAAATAAAACCAAGTGCTATAAATAGAAAGGTGAAACAAAAAATTATTAAATTTTTGTACAAAATTACATGAATATTTAATAACAGACCATCACCATCTGGGACTTTTTTCATTGCCCAAATGAGTGTGAACCGTACAAATGTTCATGAATTTGATGCAGCAAAATTGTAATGTTAGGCCTACATAATGGAGTTCCCTACTGTGTGGCATATCAATGTTTCCCTCGAATTTCTCATGCAACGTTGCCAAACCTCTTTGTTGAAAAATTTCAAATTCATTCAGTAAAATACTTCTCCATATTACTTTCTTAATGTACATGCTGCTGAATCTTTGTGCACAATTTCAGGGTTATGATATGTAATCTGAAATAAAAAAATGGTGGCGTCTAGAAATTGGGCATAAGATTTAGCGGAGTGTTTCCTAACACGCACTTGAACAATTCTCAGAAAATCCAACATTATTATCTAAAAATTTTACTTCCTACAATCATCATGCCCAACCATAACTTGTACAAAATAACCTCGGGGGCATTTTAAAGGTGTTTATTTTGCATTTACAAAAAAATCAGACAATCCGGCCAAAATCAAATTTCATACATGTACATGAATATGATATAAGAGCTTTGTTGTTGGTGTATGAACTCCAGATTTATGAATAGTAATAATGTGGACTCAATGAAATTTCACATGAAAAAGTCATGGAACTAACGAAACTGGTTGCAAATTGTAGTGTCATAAAAAGTTTTAAATAAAACAAAAAAGACTAAAATGTGCAACAAAAGGTACGAGTCTTCTGGAACTCAATGCTGTTATAAAAACAGTTTCAATATAAACATAAAAAGATAAATATATGACAAACGTGACTGTGGTGTTTGGGCAAAAGCGTATCGCACATGTACATTTTCAGCACTATTTTTGTACAGGTCATCACATCTTCCTTTTTTTTATCGGCAAGATCCTCTTAGCAGGGTCTGTAGGGAATAAAAGGCTTTTTTCGAGCCGGTCGGGAGCCAAAAATAGGGTTGGACAGAAATGACAACACAGAATTTAAAAAGGATGCCCTTATTTGCAAACTTTAAGGTTTGAAATTGAAAATATTTCTTTAGTAAGGCACTAGACAAAAAATCCACCAAAAAGCACTACCCAGTATCCCTACACTACATTCATGACATTAGGCATGTTAGGGTACTCAATACAATAGTGCAAGTAATGAGTCCCAGTAAGTTGCAATAAGACTGCAATAATGTCGAATTCATACAATACATGCATCCCCTACATAACGTACATGTAGGTCTAGGCCTACATGTACCGGTACATATATATGTACATGTACATACATGAGGGTAACAAGTGTAGGGCTTACCAGAGTAAGTCACGTAGGCCTAAGTCATTAAGCTACATGTACCCCTAATGTTTAAACTTTGGGGTAGCTACCTCAGGGCTCTGGGGGAACCCTTGAGCCAAGACAAAAGTTCTGGTTCTATACTGTGCAAACACCTCCTCTGTGGTTATCACGCACAGGTCGGAGTGACGGACAGACTGACTAAATTTTAAAGTGCACTTTTGGTACAAGGTTGAGAAGGTCCAAATGTTAAATCCTACTTTTGAATGTCTTGACATCAGGAGCAGATCGTATGCTAGGTGGTAGTAGGCCTAGTACTTACTACTAGTACATGTAGGCCTACACGTAGGTTCCATTCCCAGAGTAGCTTATTGACAACAGAGTTTGTTGAAGTTTGGGGAATGGACTGCGACCAAAGCATTCTTTTGTCACTGTTCACCCAATGACTGGCATGACTGGTCTTGTACATGTTGGAGACTTGCGAATAGATTAGTTGTCCTGGTTGTGAAGAGTTTTGTGCGAGTTGTGGAGTTCAACATGTTCAAGTTCAAGTTGTGTCGTCAACATGGTCAGCTCAGGGACGTTGAAAAGGGCAAATCTGCAGGAAAGTTATCTCCGCGTAATAAAATAATAAGCCCCAGAAGACGAATATCAAAATCTATGAAGCGTACATTACACATTTAAAATAATATCACTCAAGAATGTAATTACTTTACCTGCAAGTAGCAGCGAATAGGGCAGTACGGCGTTCGGGAACTTCAACAACAGTTGAAGCAGCAATTACTTTTCAAGACTTGACTCTGACTGCAGTATAGTAGTAGCGCGCGGTGACCGGTGGTGCCGGTGACCCATCGTTCAACCTTGTCAAACAAGCACGTATTCTCACCTGCAGTATTATAATGCATACACATGTAGCCCTGGGAACAACTTTAATTTGGTGATACAAACTACATAACAATGTCAATTAAGAAGACCCAAGCTAACTTCAAGTAGAAAAAAAGGAAAAGAGGTCAAAGTTGTTGAATATAAAATAAATTAGACAGTTAACAACACTTTTTACCCAGATAAATAAGGTAAATATATCACTTCTTAGATGCTACAATCAATTTAATGCAATGCATATAATGTTATGACACACCATTGTTTAACTCAATTCCTTACACGTACGCTGATTGGTTAATATTTTATTTGCTGGAGCAAAGTTTTCTGTCTTGTTTTAGATTCTATTTTTCTATTTGAATCAAGTTTAATGTACAATATAGAAATAGTGCAGGAGGTTTGTTTGAATTATTTGATTTTCATTTGCTTATAATCTTTGATGCAAATAATTTCTCAACGTCGTAAAATTGTATCCAATTGAATCGTCCCTAATGTAACGATGGGTTATTTTATCGCTCTCACAGCATGAACACACATGCAACACAGTACTTGTGTGTGGCTTCGCATGTGTTCGTGTTCGGGGTGTTTCGTTTTTCATCTTATATAACATCTTTCCTGTGTATTGAAAACCCAAATTGTTTGTCAAGCGAGTTCAGGTGAAGCTGATGTGTTTTAGCTATGAATAGTGTGATACGAGTAAGAAATATTTGACCTGCAAACTTGAGATTAACAGTAACATTTAAGTGGAAACGTAAGCTGAGGCCATTTTCAATATGGCAGCCCTCATGGGTTTGTCCAAGCGTGACCTTGAAGAGTTACGTCCAACTGTAGATGACATTGTGCGGAAGGTATTGGGTTTTTCGGAACCTAGTGTAACAATCGCTGCCTTGAACTGTGTTGGCAAAGGAATGACAAAGGTGAAAACAGTTGGTAAGTGTGTACACATGTATAATGTTAGATTTTTAACCCTAACCCCAAGGGCTGCTGTGGTTGCTGGCCCTAACCTTCCCCATTCACACTAAGTTAAACACCCATATGGGACTTTGTGCACGGAGGCAGTTGGACTTTGTTTTTCTGAGGTATGCCAAACCCAATGCAAAAGCCAGCTGTTATGGGCCTACCAGACCTATCCCCACAGAATTAAACACTTTACTTCTGAGTACTGTTTAATTCTGTGTGGTTGGGGAAGGTTAGGGTTAATAGGGGATGTCAATGATTTTTTGGATTTGTATTTTTGCAATTTTTTTCATGGTTTTTGGATGAGGTTCATGAATGGTAGCAGTTTAGCACAAAATCGGTAAAATTGGTGCAGGCATTCGGAAAGAATTCCATATACGAAGTTCACTTTTTAGGAGAAAGTTTTGCTCCAGGACAGATTTAAAAAGGGGCGACATTTATTTTGGGGGG